GCAGTGGTGGTATATGGCAGCGGTGGTAGGATATGGCAGCGATGGTGGTATATGGCAGTGGTGGTAGGATATGGCAGCGGTGGTGGTATATGGCAGTAGCGAGGAAGATGGTGTGGTGGCGGCGTGAAAAACTGTGATAGAACTCGAAACTCTGAAGGACTAGACGCTAAGACTAGCAACTAGACACGAGGATGCAACCGTAAATTCAACAAAGCAAAACCCTAAAAAGATTATGTAAAGGCTCAGCTTGGTTCGGATATGATGAACTAACCCCAATATTTTTTTGTGGATTTTTCGTGGACTGTAGGTATGAAGGACAGACTCGATCTAAACTATGAAAACTGGAAAATCTCACCAAGCAACCTGGAAATCTGATACCACTTGATAGAGGCGAAGGTGTACCGATGTTTCGATGAGATAGCTATTGTTTTCTATGGGAGTCAACCTTGACGATCCGACTACAAACATGCGAAGACGTCGTGCCTTATCAATCGTTAAACCAACTTCCGAGGGGTTATTGACCACGCAGGAGCATGATTAACCTAACCACGAGGGTCTATTTCCTGCGAACAAACAAAGAACAAGCAAGAAACTGAGATTGCAATCTGGATATTGCGAATAAAAGATGAAAGCTTTATTGATGAAAGTGGGGTTTTGTGACGTCCTGGTCTGGTCGTTGAACACAAACGAAGTACACAAAGTTGCAGCTATGGCAAACTTTTAATCTAAACAAAACCCAAAGTCTAAACGGCGCCCTAAGGGCTATATATATGGAGGAACTAAGGATGGAAACGGGTCAGGTTTGGATCCGGTTGAACAATATCAAATCCATATCCATATCCATGAAGATATTCTCTGCCCGCCCATGAAAAACTCATGGGCACAGTGTCCATGTCCAAACCCGATGGATAACCATACCCGTTGGATATCCATCGGGTCCTCTCAAGACATATACATAATACATAACACAATGTGCACATAAGTTGTTGCACCCATGCGTCAAGGCATGTGTGAAAAAGCAGAGACGGAGGGGTCGAGGGGATACAAAGTTACGTTGTCGTAGGTCAGTGGTGCTAGCTGTTGCGGTACTCCACCATACATGGAGGTAGCGGCTGACAACGCCAAACGTCTCTCAGAATGCAGAAGGAGTAAGAAGAGGAGACAAGGCTGATACTTAATGATAAGTCATTTAATGACGAGATAAAAGGATGATAAGGGGGCTAAAATAATATTAAGGTAGGGATTGAATGTCAACTAAAAAAGTTACAATGTGGATTGTGCAATTTGTTTTGCATGCTTTGCATAATAATGGTAAAATTTCAGTGGGACATGTGATTGTGGGGTAGGGATAGCAGAATATTACCCATTAAGTCGAACTATCCGATCGGGTTTGGGTATACCCATGGGTACAATATTATGTCCATGCCCTACCCATGAGTAATCGGGTCGGGTTTGGGTGTCGGCCATGGGCGCAAAACCATATCCAAACCCTGTCCATACAGGTTGGATATCCATGGGTATAATTGTCATCCTTAGGAGGAACAGGGGGTTTCCGTGGCCCTTGGAGGAGGGGTTTGAAACCAACCCTAACTCTTGTTTTCCCACACATACGGACTCTAAAAACAGCCTATACTCAAGTATTTCAAAATTACATGGGCCTGGCCCAATAATAAGGCGACACAGCACCTATAATAGCCTCTGGACGAAATTTAGGAAGTGGCATCTTGTATATTTTGTCCAAGCCTTCATGTACTCATTATGGTGGCTTCAAAGTCCTGAAATCATCACTTGAAACTTCATTCTTGTTCCCCTTGCGCATGCCATCATCTCCATACTTGAACTTGTTCCAAGGTTCATCTTTCTTGTCCAAGCTAGGCCCTTCATTTGTAAGCAAAACAAATGTATCCAATTTAGACAGCATCATATTCTCATGAACATTAGAATCGTTACCAAGAAACGAAGTACCTGGTAATTCAATTGGCGCGCGCGAGCTCTAGTAACCGGTCCAGTATGTATAGCAACAGGGGTTGTGGGTGTAACAATGTTATTGATGTCCTCATCAAGAGTGCTAGGAAGAATGTGGAGCGTGCCTTTGGTGTTCTGCAATCTCGATGGGCATCATTCGGTATCCTGCTTGAACTTGGAGCATCAAGAAGTTGTGGAAGGTGATGGTTGATTGTGTGATCACGCACAATATGATCGGAGAGGATGAGCACCCGAAACGTATCTACGACCAAGGGTTTCAGTTTCAGGGTGACAATGTTGTGTCTCAGAATGGAGGAGCGGTAAAGTTTGCACAGTTCACCTAATTTTATTATCAAATGCGTGATTGAAAAACTCACATTCAGCTGCAAGATGATTTGGTTGAGCATATGTGAGCTCACATTGACAACCAATAGATGTATCTTTTTTAAAATGTATTTAAGACAATTTAATTTTTATTTGGCTTGTAAACTATGATCTATTTATTTGGTTTGTGAACTATGCTATATTTGTTTGCTTGTGAAATTATGTAAATGTGTGTATTTTGTTTAATTTATGTTTGAAAAACGATGGCAACCTGGCCGCGCGGGCGAAAATGAGTCTGTGCGTTGGGCACACTGCCGACCCAAATGAAAATAGGGCGGACGACGAGCGGACGGCCGACCCAAATGGACAAAAGGCGAACAAAGCACGCATCCGATTAGGTCGCCCGATTGAAGTTGTTCTAACCAGGCTCTTGACCAATCCGGACAGCCTGTGCGCCCGAAATGGTAGTCTACAGGACACGGTCTTCTCAGGTGGGGCTTCAGCTACTTGGCAGGGTGTGCAATATGGACTGGAGCTCTTGAAATCTGGCCTGGTTTGGCGCGTGGGGAACGGGAACTCGATCAGAATATGGCGTGACCATTGGATCCCGAGGAATGGTAGTGGCAGGCCAGTAACACCGCAGGGACGATGTCGTCTTTGCCGGGTGAGTGAGCTGCTGGACAACCATGGTGCTTGGCGGATGGGCGTGGTACGTGACATCTTTTTATCGGTGGACGCAGTGGAGATAGCAAAGATTCGAACATCACCGCGGCTGGGCGAGGATCTCCTTGCATGGGGTCCTGAGCGTAATGGAAACTTCTCGGTGCGGAGTGCTTATCGACTTGCTTCAGAGGATCATCTTCGATCTTCATCAGTCGCGGCGAGCGGGGCACCGGACGGGCGACGAGCCGTCTGGGCTTTTATTTGGAGGTGCCCTGCTCCTCCCAAGGTTCGCACCTTTACTTGGAGGCTGCTCACAGATTGTTTGCCCACTTGGGTTAATAAAAAAACGTCGAGGGCTGGAGGTCTCTGACCAATGCCCTCTTTGTGCTATGGAGCCGGAGGACACGTTTCATGCTTTTTGCAGGTGCCCGAGGGCGGTGGCGCTATGGCAAGCAATGGCTGAACATTGAAGGATCCCTGCTGCTGCTACCTTCCATCGGACGGGCTTGGAGTGGCTCACCCAAACTCTCTGTGATCTCCCTGACACGGAGAGGATGGAGCTCATGATGACACTTTGGCGATGCTGGCACGTACGCAATGAGATGACACATCACAAGCAGCCGCCACCGGTTGAAGCATCGAAGAGGTTCCTCCTTAGTTACGTTGACTCGCTCGTTGGCATACAGAACAATCCGAGTGCAGACCCGGCGAAAGGGAAGCAGGTAGTTGATGCAGTGGTGTCGAGCAAAGATATATTGCGTGGTACATGTGCGGCTGGGACGCGACCATGATGGACTCCTCCGGCTGCAGGTTGGACAAAGCTCAGCGTCGATGGCTCATTTTGCGCCACGACAGGAACGGCTGGCGCCGGAATGATCCTGAGGAATAGCTCCGGCAAGATTATCTTCTCATCGTGTAGGGAACTGAGGTCATGTGCGGAGCCTCTAGAAGCTGAACTCCTTGCCTGTATGGAGGGCCTGAACCTTGCTTTGGAGTGGACGCAACAGCACATAGAATTGGAGATGGACAGCCTCATGGCGCTCAATATGCTCAAGGCAGTGGAGAGGGACCGGTCTTGTTATGCTATGCTTACTGATCAGATTAGGAGACTACTGGGAGATGGGAGATTAGTTAAACTAGCTCATGCACGCAGAGAGCAGTATGGTATTAGCCATCACCTAGCTGCTTTTGGTAGAATTAAGAAACGTACGGTTGTATGGTTGGGTTCAGGACCAAGTGAGGTGCCTGACTTATGTAAGAAGGAAATTGATCCTGAGTGATAAATGAAAATTATTTTTCACCCGCAAAAAAAAAAGAAGTTGCTCTAACAAGGTATACTAAGAAGCGATCGGTATATAGAGAATGCAACACTCCAAAGAACATAAAAGTAGTTCCAAAACGATAAAAGCAAACAAACATAACTTCTCTTCTATTTAGATGAATTATCCAAGCACCACTTGGAAACTGGTCTAACGTCTAGGTAAAATGAAGATGATGGAAGGTGAAAGAAGAATATGACAAGTCATGTGAAAGAAATATTCTGGAAATTTTAGCAGCACACTTGTTCGCTCCAGTATTCAAATTGAAACAAATCTTGATCTTCCAACAGAAATGGCAGAATGCGAGAGATAATCTGAGCATTGGGTTTGATATCAATATTTAAAAGACAAATTTGGATAACTATTTGTATGTAGATGCAAGAAGATATGAAAGTGAACCGAAACATGATCATGCATACCGTGTTATTATTTATCAATCCAGTAGATTATCACATTTCACAGAATATACAAATATCATGCCCATCCAAAATCACAAGTGTTTATACAAAACAAGAATACAACAGGTCAAACTGCCCTGGGGAAGTGTCTATTGTCTCTCGTAAAATTTAGTTTCGATGATGAAAATTAGCCGTAGTTGGGACAACACTAGAATATGGATTTTACAAGAATACATAACGATGTCACAACTTCCAACAAAATGAATGACTATTACACTATCAATGCATGCTAAGACATTAGACACCCGAATAGAACTTAGTTAAACCCACATCATAGACCAGGTGTTGTTAAAGCAGATTGCAACACATCTTCAAGGTACTTCTCTGCAGCTGCATACTGCCTCTTTTTGTCCTCTATAGCTAACGCAGCGAGAGCTTTATCCTGATTACAGTTGCCACAGATGACAAAGAATAAGCAAAGAATTGCAACAAAAGTAAAAAAGAAAGAACAAAAAGACGAGGCAAAAGACATACTGGAGGCAAATCCTGGTAGCTACGCAATGTGTCGGCAATGGGTTTAGTTTTCCTCTCAAGATCCTTCTTATGCTCCGCCATTTCCATCAACACACAATGATTAATTTCTGGCGTGTATCCAACTCTGTTGAGCATTGCCTGATAGAGAAAAGAAGACAGTGAATGACTCCTTTGATTCAAGGGAATTCCATAGGATTTTTGGAGGATTTGAATCCTTCGTAATTTTTCCTACGGTGGTCATTTGATTCACAGGATTGAAATCCTTAAAAAAACATAGGATTCATTTGTGCTACACTCTGGAGGAAATTGCCATTCACTCAAACCTCTCGGTAGAATTACTCTGTTTTTCCTGTGCGATCAAACACTCTTCCATCCAAATTCATGTACTCCCTCTGTTCCAAAATAGATGACTCAAACTTTGTACTTATACTAAAATTAGTACAAAGTTGAGCCATCTATTTTGGAACGGAGGGAGTAGTTTAGTAATCATGTACGATACAAGAGGACATGGCATTCTATTCCTGCGTTTTAAGAATCCTGTGAATCAAAGAGGCCCTAAAGGTATGGAAATGTATTTCGTAATCAGACAACAGTGTGTAACTCGAGTAATACGCAAAGTTGGTCCAAAAAGGGGCACACAGATAGCTCATGTAGCTCAGGCACTAATATAAGACTGACAACCATCTGACCTTTCCCCAGACTAGAGCACTATTTGAGAAACATCTCTGCCTTCTGCCTAAACCTAGACTAAAAATTAGGGATGAAAACAGAGCGGAAACGGACAGAACTATGCGCTGCCATATTAGTTTCCGTATTTTTTAGCAGAAATCCCGGAAACGAATAGAGAAGCAGGTACTGCCGGAAATGAATACAGGCCAAAATATGGTGCGGACACAAATACAAAACGAAAGTTCCCCCAACTAAAAAACCTCTAGAACCAGAAAGAAAAAACACAAGGGAACTAACAAGTTCAATTGCTAAGATGACTACAATTATTATGATATATATCATGGATATATAATAAGGTATACTACTTTGCATGAGTTTCCCCTTTTGGCAACATAATAAGGTATACTGTTCCAGAAGAATGGGAGTAGGGAAAGGATTAGGGTTTTGGTAGTAGGGTTGAGTTGGGCCAAAAGTGTATATGTGTTCTTCTGGAGTTGGCTATATTGACAAAAAATAAACGGAAACTTCCGCACGTGCCGATACGGAAATGGAATACTGTTCAAGAAGAATGGGATGCAGAGAAGGGTCATGGGAGTAGGGAAAGGATTAGGGTTTTGGTAGCAAGGTTGAGTTGGGCCGAAAGTGTAAATGTGTTCGTGACAAAAAAAATAAACGGAAACTTCCGCACGCTCTGTTTGCACATTTTTCCTGAAATAGATGAAAGTTTCCGGTGCATTTTCATCCCTACTAAAATAGTGTAAAAGATATGTTCGTGGTACAATAAGAAACACAAGGCCATGATTGCTGGCTTTTCAATTCATGACGATATTACTTAGTTCATCACTAGGTAATAATTACAGTACTGGAAACTGGTGATGCAGGAGCATATCGATTATCAAGAAAAATGTGAATAAACCGAGGTCTACCAATTAGTTGGATGAAAATATTATAAAAGCTGGATGACTTAGTTCATCAGCATTCAACATTTTTACTGTTTTGCTATGAATGCACATTATATAGATATCTCCCTCTCTAGAGAACAGACAGACATGTAGTATAAGCAAAATTTGGTCCCGTCACACAATTCTCACGTGAAAATATTAAGCTATAGCATATATATTCAAGACGCGTGTCAATTCATGTCAGGGATTGAGTAGTTATCATTAGCAGCACCATAGTCCACCTCCATGAAGGCTTAAATCTTATGATTG